ACTATTCGTTGGGTGGCAGACTGAGAGAGCCTGTGTGGCAGACTGGGGAAGCCTAAGAGCGGCTTTGAGGCCCTCCAGCGCTCCTTTAGCCTCAGCGTCGAACACCTCCGCAGGGCCGAGGCGTCCTGCGCCTTGGCAAACAGAGCGTCCGCTTTGGTGGACAACATAGCCGTATCCGGCAGCACCGCTGGAGGACAGTGAGCCGTCAGAATACACGATAAGACTAAGCGGCGGGATGGTTTGAAGCCATCGGTCAAAGTCTTTGGCGGACTCTTCTTTGGATGCAGTTTGGAGGGGCTGCGGTGTTTCGTGGCTATATTTGCGCGGCATGAGTACGGGGCGTTGGCGGCAGTTCCCTAGCAATCTGTTCGTCTTCCTCAACCGGGTTGGAAAGACCTTTGGTGGGAGCTGGTACTTCAATTTGATACACTTTATGATGGGCTGTGGCGCTGCTTCGGTGGTGCGTTTGGCCAGACGGTGTGCGTGGTCTAGTGATTTGATGCGGGCAGAGAAGCGGAGACGTCTTGCCTCCAGGAGTTGGTGAACCGGAGGTATGCCGCTTTCTCGATGCAAGACAGCGATCGGTGTGGTCTTCCAGATTGGGAGAATGGCTCGGACGGCCTGCTTGAGGGCTTTGCTCATTTTCCGCACAAGCTGCTGGACTCTAGACGGTCTTTCCTTCGACGGTCGTCTCCAGCGTCGCCACGTTGTACCTGGATACCACGCTTCCACGCCGAAGAGCAGGATCGGCTCGACACAGGCTCTGGCTGCCCTCTGCACAGCGCTCGGCAGGGCACCGCGCCGGGTGTTCCCTAGGCTTCGGAGGTGGTGGGCGACCGCTTGGGCCTTGGCTGTCCACTTCTCGACATGAGTCTTGAATGTCATATTGAAGAATATTGAGGATATTGAGGATATTGTATAGGGTATTTTTCATGTGAGCTGTGTTGCTGTGACCGCTCATGTGACGTCGTGTTTAATGAATGTCTCACTATGAAAATGTTGTGAAACAACTCAATTGGAATCTTATTTCAAAAAAATTCTCTTCCGTCTCGTTGTGAACAATCGCTTTATTTAAGGCAGTATTCGATACCAGCCTACAACAATGAAGACAAGCGATGCCAGCGCAAGCATGGGCGATTCCACTTGCCAGATGTCTGAGCCCGATTCCAGTCAGCTTCTGGATATATCTTGGAGCGGCAGCCCCGACTCCACAGCGACTTTCGCAAGTACCCCTTCCGGCCGCGGATCTAAGAAACGTACCCAAACGGCGACAGAGACTTGGGCTCATGCGAAGAAGTTGAAGCTGGATGAACAAGTTAGACGTGACCGAGCTGGCAACAGGATTTGGGTTTGCGGCAAATGCCCGTGGGAGTCGGCGTCCCTAACCTCTGCCCGAAATCATCTCGATCTACGGCATGGTGTTAAGATCAAGGCGCAGCAGCGACAGGTTGTACGGAAGGGGCAGGCCAAGCTTGAGCAAATTTTTCAACGCCAAGGGCAAAGGAGTCAAGCAGAAGCTGATGAACGGGAGAGAGGCATGCTGAGCAAGGCTATTAACCAGACGGCGTTCGACGAGTCGCTACTTCAGCTTATAGTCAAATAACAACCTGCCGCACAGGGCAGTGGAGTATCCGGAACTGTACTCTTTGATAATGAGCGTCAACTACATGGCAGCAGATATCTACCCCAAATCTCGAGCCGCGATACCGAGAAAAATTGAACATGCTTTCCTCCAAGAAAAAGACGAGATTAGACAGCATCTTCAGGGGGCACTTTCCGAGATACATCTCGCATGCGATGTCTGGACGACCGAACATAAGAAGAAGGCCTTTTTGGCCGTTGTTGCGCACAGTGATGGATAGCCACGCTATG